TTTTTATCACAGTAGCTTTTTAGTAGAGTTTCAAGTCAAAGATTATGATGTCCCCTACTTTTACCTTTGTTGCCCAAGATTAACAGGTCTCTTCTGGTTCCAAATGAATTTTTGGATTGTTTCTATAATTCTCTGAGATATGCTGTTGGAATTTTGAACAGGATTTTATTAAATCTGTGTAGAAATTTTAGGTATATAGTCATTTTCACTATATTCGTTTTTCATACCCAAGATCAAAGGATATATTTCCATTTTCTGATATCCTCTTCAGTTTCCTCTTGTACAGTAATGTAGTTAAGGTAGAGGTCTTTTACTTTCTTCATTAGATTGATTCCAAAGTATTTCACTTTTTTAAATGCTATTGTGAAAGATGTTGTTTCCCTAATTTCTCTCACAGTGAGTACATTATTCAAGTATAAGGAGGCTATTGATCTTTGAGTGTTGACTTTGTATCCAGCTACACCTGAATTTGGCAATTAAACCTAGATGTGTTTTGATGGATTATTTGTGGTCTTCTATATAGAGCATATGTCCTCTGCAAACAGTGATAATTTAATTTACTCTTTTCCTATCCTTATTTCTGTCTCTTGTCTAATTGCTGTGGCTAAAGTTTCTAGAACTGTATTGAATGAGAGTGCTGACAGTGGACATCCTTGTCTTGTTTCTGAATTTAGAGTGAAAGCTTTCAGTTTTTGACTGTTTAGTATGATGTTGACTGTTGGCTGATCATAGATGATCTTTATCAGATTGAGGTAAAGATCTTCAGTCCCCATTTTCCAAAGGTTTTTATCATGAATGAGTGCTGGACTTCATCAAATACTTTTCCTCCATCTATTGAGATTATAGTTTTTGTCCTTGGTTCTGTTAGTATGGTATATATTACATTTATTAATTTATGTATGTTGAAGTATGTCTGCATCTCTGGGCTGAATCTCACTTGGTCATGGTGTATAATCTTCTTGATGATTTGTTGCATTCTGCTTGCCAGTATGTTGGTGGGCTGGGGAGATGGCTCAGTAGAATAAGTGCTTTCCTGGCCAGCACCAGTGTCCGAGTTCAATCCCCAGTTCCACAGGAGGTGGCGAGGGCTGGGGGATGATGTTTGCCGGTATCTTACCGCACAGATTTTTGCCTCTATGTTCATTAGGGAGATTGGCCTGTGGTTCTTCTTTTTTGTTTGGATTTTTCTCTAGTTTAAGTATCAAGTCAATATTTGCTTGCAGGAATGAATTTAGGGTTTCACTTCCCTTTCACTTTCATTACAGAGTTTGAGAAATGATGGCATTAAGTCTTCTCCAAATTTATAGTAGAATGAAGAATTCTGTTTGTATCAGGGCTTTTATTGTTAGTAAAGTTTTAATTACATCTCCAATTTTATTGACTGATACTGGTTGATTTAGAAGTTTTTACATTCTTTATTAATTGTATCTTCTTTATATTCATATATTGATTAATTATATGTATCTAGGAATCTGTCCACTTCTGCATTTTCAGGAAAGCTTCTTCCCATAAGCAAATTACAAATACCATCCAGAAATTGAACTGAAACAAAATAAAAACAAAATGAAAAGACACTTAAACAAGATGCAACTCTAGACTTACAGTTCACCAATGGCAAATCCAAGGGGCACTGCGCTGGAACAATCCAAAAGCCACCCACCTCGACTCTCTGAAGTGGTAGTATTAGAAATAACAAAGCAAATGAAAGAAGCTCTAGAAAAAATCAAATCAGAACTAATTTCTCAGACAACTACAGATATAGTGATCATAATAAAAAACCTGCTTAGTGACTCTAGAGCAGATACAGATAAAACAAATAGAGCTTAGGAAAATGATGGAAACCATAATCACCCAAAATAGGAAAGAAATGGAATCCATGAAGAAGATTCATACAGATACTCAAGGGGTTAAAAGTTCTATTGAAAGTATACACAGCAGAGCCAGTTTGAGGATACAATCTCAGCCATAGGACACAGGATGATGGTTAGCAATCATGAGAAGAAAGATGTCTTCAAAATAGCAAAGGACCACAAGAAATCAATCCAACCCCTGGTAGATGATGCAAAGAAGAATAGCATAAGATTGACTAGAGTAAAAAAAAATTTAAAAAGATGATAGCACAAATGACATTAAAAAAAAAAAAACTATTCATAGAAGTCATGGCAGAAAACTTCCCAAGCAGGGGAAAAAGAATTTGACATGTTGATTAGTGAAGCATATAGAACTCCAGTTCGCCATTATTTAAAGAAACGTATGGGCCTACCAGATAGCTCAGCAGGTTTCGATCCCCAGCATGTCGTGCTGGCCCTGCCCCCAGGCGCGCTGAGACTGTGATTGGGATTGAGGGTGGTGGTGTGCACCTATAATCCCAGCACTTTGGGAGGCTGAAAAATAGGAAGGATCACTACAAATCCAGTTTGTATAGTGAGACCCTGTAGACCCTGTATTACATACATAAAAAAAAAGAAATCTACATCAAGGCATGTAGTAGTCAAGATCCCAGAAATTCAACACAAAAACATAATATTAAAAGCTGTTAGGGGCCCAGGGAGATAGCTCAGTAGCATAAGCACTTATGTGGCAAGCACAAGGTACTGAGTTCAATCCCAGATACAA